AAAGATTGAAGGAAGGAGGAGAAGGGGATGACAGAGGATGAGATGGTTGGATGGCATCACCAACTCAATGGACATGAGTTTGAGTAAACTCCGGGAGCTGGTGATGGATAGGGAGGCCTGGCATGGTGCAGTCCATGGGGTTTTAAAGAGTCAGACATGACTGAGTGACTGAACTGAACTGAACTGTGGCTGTAGATAAATTGCTGAGCAATTTGTTTGGGGACAAAGAAATGTCTGAGGTCAGGCAAGCAAACAACTAATGATGCTTTACTTTGTCCGCAAAACATCAAGATCGATATGCAGGACATGTGACGTTTATGGACAACTGTTTTCTTTTCCCTCTAGAGGAGGGAAAAAATACTGGATGATCCCTTTTTTAAGAGCAGTAGAATGATTGCTGCTTTTTGATACAGCTTTTGCTGCTCCTTCCCACCAACTGGTAGTATTAATTTCCTGTACTTCAAGTGCCAGAATTCAAATAATTAGAATTTTTTTGCATGCATATCTAGCTTCATTGTTTCAACTAGCCAAAACTTGGGGACAATGTTATAAATCATAATGAACAGAGCTAGTTCTGGGAGGCTGTGATAGGCATTAGAGATCCATGATATATTCATTAAAATTAGGTCTCTCGTGGGCAAGAAAAAAATTAGGTCTCTCATGAACAATTAGGAAGAACTCACAAAGAGAAAGCCTGATCAATGTCAAAGTTTTGGGCTGAAGTAGCTTTTCTTCTCGTTCTTCTACCGAAAGGACAGAGGACAGAATTTGGAAACTAAATTATCATCTCAGGAAGTCAATGAACTTTGCAGCTTAAGAGGAATCTTTGTCAAGAGACACAGAATGAAAAAGTACATCTCCCTAAATGGAGAAGGAAGTGATGTGAATATGGTACTGACTTCTCTCTTCTTGCTTAGAGAGGAGAAGGAGGACTCACTCTTTTCATCAGCCGTCTTAGGGTCTGAAGATCCTAGATCATTTTTTTTGCATCCTCGTGAGTCCCTTATTCACACAACCTTAAAGCATTGCACTGAAACCATCCATGTGCTATTCTAAAACCCCACAAATTTCTGAAGTCAAGATACTAAATCTTTAAAGTGAATGCTGAGGCTTTTACAACTCAAAAAAAAAAAATCTATTTTAATTGCAAGCCAGTTAGATCAATTATAGGTGGTTTTGTTTAGTTTTTTAATTTTTTCAGAGAGAGAGAAGCATTTTCTCTTTGACAAATTATTTTCTGACTCCCGGCATGTTGTCAGGCTTTCCCTGCCCCGCTGAGAATGTGTGGGGTTCTGTGTTCCCCAGCAGACTGGAAGGTACCAGCCTTCTCCATCTACCAGCAGCAGAACAACGCACAGGTCCTTCGGAAAGCGGCATTTCAGCTCAGTGCATATTTCAGGGCTGCTCTTGAGACGGGAATCAGAGTTCTTGTCCACGGACCGGAAGGATGGAATCCACAAACATGCAGACACTCATGGTAGCAAGCGAATAGGATTTATTAAAGAGGAAGAAAGTACAAAGCTCGCAGCATAGACACTGAGGGGGTAAAGAGTCCCCTGTAGGTGATTTTAATTACCAAGGACAGTCTCTCTAAAGATACAATGTATTTTATTTTATTTATTTATTTTTTTTTTATTTTTTTTTTTATTTTTTATTTAAAAGTGAAGAAAATCATCACTTCTCCTGAACAATCAAAGGAATCACTTCTAATCAGATATCAGGGCTCATTGTGACACCTGCTCACACACGTCAAGATAGAATAGAAAACAGGATTAAGATATGAATTTCTGAAAATAAGACCTCAACCATCTACAACAAATAAGCAACAAGGACCAAGAAAGGCAAATACCATGCACACAAATTTAATTATCCTTGTCATAACAGAGTTAATGAGCTTAGCCAAGTCATCTTACTGCAGTGCATTCCAAAATACCCACTTCCTGCATTATGTCACTTTATTCCATATCAAACATAAATATCAAAGGTTATCTATCCTTAGGTTGCTTCCATGTCCTGGCTATTGTATATAGTGTTGCAATGCACATTGGGGTGCCTGTGTCCTTTTGAATTATGGTTTTCTCTGGATACAACCTAAATGTCCATCAAAAGATGAATGGATAAAGATATATATATATATATGGATATAGATAAAGATAGAGATAAATGGATAAAGAATGGATAAAGATATATATATATAAAGATCTATATAATGGATGGACCTGGAAATGATCATACTAAATGAATTAAGCCAGACAAAGAAATAAAAATATCATATGATATCGCTTATATGCAGAATCAAAAAAAAAAAAAGATACAAATGAACTTATTTACAAAACATAAACAGATTCACAGACACAGAAAACAAACTTGGGTTACCAAAGGGGAAGCAGAGGGAGGATAATTTAGGAGTTTTGGATTAACACATACATACTATATGTAATATCTATATATTTATATCTGTATATAAAATAGACCTCTGTATATAAAGGTATATCTGTATATAAAATAACCAACAAGGATTGCACAGGGAATTATATTCAATAGTTTATAATAATTTTTAAGGGAAAAGAATCTACATATATATAAAGAGAAAAGGATCTATATATATAATCTATATAAAGAATCTATAATCTATATCATATATATATGAATATAGATATGTAAAGAAATATACATAACTGAATCACTTTGCTGTATATCTGAAACTAACAAACACTGTAAATCAACTATACACCAATAAAAAAACTGCATGTCTTCTGTTAGCATTTGAAGCCTTTATTAAAATCTATTTGACTTCCAAAGTAAGGATAAATAAGTTAATTCAAGTATTGATGACAATTGATACTGTATATTTAATTGTATCATGTTCAAGGCAAATCTCAGAAGCATAAAGTTGTATCTCTCAAGATTTTTTTTTTAATTGAGCATAATTATTTTGTTTTTCATGGTCCCGTGAGATAAAACTAAGAAAGAAACTCATAACTGAATTCTTGCTATTCACAATGTTTCCATTGGGTGTAGCTATGATATTAGAGAGGTTAATACCACAGCCTGCTTATTCAAGGAAGGATGCTCAGATATGTGGGGGATTTGTAAACTCCGGGAGTTTGTGATGGACAGGGAGGCCTGGCGTGCTGCGATTCATGGGGTCGCAAAGAGTCGGGCACAACTGAGCGACTGAACTGAACTGTCTTTAGTATTAAACTACACGAGTCAGCTGTATGTTCCATGGGTTAACATAAAACAATTTCAAATCAATCACATCAAGATGGATTTCACCGCCTTTTTCCAAAAAGGAAGAATCGTACAAAACTGAGACCTGTATTAAAACTTCACTCAACAATAATTCCACCTAGTTTACTCATTCTTGAATTTTTCTAATAGAATCATGTAATTCACATCTAGTTTGAATGCCTTCTGTATGTAGACACCTGTAGGATAAAATGAGATGAATAAGCAGAAAACCCTTTAACAATGCAACTCCTTTACTCAATGATGGGTCTGAGCAGAGTGTCTTTAAATATCTTTTATCTTAAAAGGAAAAAGAAAAAGTATTTCTCCTAAAATGCAAGGGCAGCTGACTTGCTGAGATGAAAACTGCTAACTCTTTTCCTAACAACACCATATGTCTCCAATTGGATCATAATGCAGCTAGTTCTCAGGAGAATGTCACGCATGGAAACTAACCAAATTGAGTCACAGCTTCACTGCTGACTCATGATTAACCAGGGGTCGTACTTTGGGATTTTTCAGAGCATCCAAATGCCAATCCAAATGGCCTTTCTTCTTTCCCAAAATTCTCCCCAAACTTAGCGTGTCATAAAATGAACCTGATCCTGCCAGAAAACTATGTCTTTTTTTTGTTTAGACTTCATTTTCTATATAACTCAATATATTTTAAAGAACCAAAATGCTCAACCCGTAAATGCTTTAGCCATGGGTTTTAAATAGTAGATACTTAATGTAGCAAACATTACAAAGATGCAACATAAAATTATCAAAAGAAAAAGACTGAAGAAATCACATTTTCCCCCTGAGAATCACTGAAAATAAAAAACTAACAAACAAACATATATGAGTCAGATATTTCCTTATCTGTTATTCCCTTTTAGAACTTCACTCAACATTTAATATTTTTATGCAGAGTAAGATGTATTTTTTCTTCCAGTTTTATTGAGATATGAGTAAGATATTTTAACCTACTTAATACACAATACTATTCATATATTTTTCTTAAAAATTAATATCATGTCAAGGCAGTCCTTGTATCACATTCTGATACATATGATATATTCTTTTGCATTGATTGTAATTCTTAATAGCATAAAGTTATGTCATCTTATGTGTCAAATATTGAGAATTTTGCCTTCAAAAATATGAAATGCCCTGAAGTAGTCTAAACTGGTGCTTCCTAGATTATCTCTGATGAATGGGTGTACTAAAAAAATTTAATGTGCATTTGATATTTTTGTACTACATGAAGTTATGTGCTAAGGTTTCATGATAATGTCATATTGCTATAAAAGTTTCTAAATGCTCTTTCTGCCTTTCTGCATTCTTCTTGTCATGGGCTGGTAAGAACTGTTTGGGAACTGGTCTCAATCTATGGATTCCACTGTTATTATTATTATTATTTTTACAATATGTCACTCACTGTTCAGATATTTTACAAAATAGAAATCAGGATACCAACATTAATGATATGCATCACAAACTTTCTTCACAGCAAGTGCATTTTAAACTATTCTTTGCAATTTCCCTTCTAATTCACTTTAAGGAATTAGTAGCAGAGATTCAAAAAGACAGGCCAAAGATGAATTACGAAGAAGCTTTTGGTAGTTTTGAGAAAGATGAGTTGCACAGTATTAAAAAAAATACATATTTATAAAGGCAAAAATTTTCCTCCCAGTGGAGGAAACTATGGGCCTTACCATGTACTCATTCTGATAGCAGCAATGAGCCTAAGTATTATTTAATGATTACTTTATGGCATTTCTTACCTGGGATTCCTGGTGGTGTTTTCAGATATTTTCCATTAAAATGTTGAATTACCACTTCACATTTTTCAGTAGACTCCATTCTGGGGAAAGAAGTAAACAGGGGATTATATACTTTCATGAAGTTGTACATATCTAGGAAAAATAAAAAGAGAAGGAAATTAAGAAAACCCTAGACAAGCTTCATTTGAGAATTTTCCCAGACTCGTCACCAGTTGCCATGACCACCATAGTGGATAGATCACCACAAACCTGTTGCCGCCAAGAGCAAGGCTTACTCTACTGAAGGCTGACTGTGTGGACGGCTCTGTGTGGAGTCCTCACTCAGACATAATCCGGAGGCATCATCTTATTTAGTCCGTATAACATCTTATTTAATCCATACAACAATTTAATCCGTACACTCAAAGGGCTCAGTTAACACCTTTTGAATGTCTGAGTTAGCAAACTTGGGAGGCGGTTCTTGCTGTTGCCTTTCACACCACGAGGCCGGCCAGGCTTAGCAAGACGAACGGCCTTGGCAGCGTGTGGCTGAGGTGGGCTTGCAGCAGAGGCCCGGGCGACACCCACCTGCACTGCAACTACTACGCTATACCTTGAGGGTCTCCACAAAAGAAGGCGAGGGAGTGTGCTGGCTTTAAGCCACTGGCAGGCTAAGGGAGAGACTCACACAGTAGTGTTGTCATCACGATGCCATTTCATGCTTGCATCATGACACCTTTATTCAAAATCCATGAGGGGACAGATACAGAAGGGAGCTATTTCCGGTACCAAATGTCTTAGGAAAATAAATATACACAAACCTCAGGTCTTGAACTTTCTTACTTTCGAATTTTAGATAACCTCCTATTTTGTCATACTAGGTATATCAACAGGGCAGGTTTCTTTTGCCGAATTTTGGCATCTCACATAAAAGCTAATGAACAATATTTGGGACCATACCATCACACTGGCAACATTAGCAGTTGGGTCTCGTTTGAGGCTGGCCTGCCTTCAAGCCTCCAGGGCATACTTTCCTTTGCTTGCTGAATAAAACTGAGCTGTAACCAAGCTGTAACACTGGTCCGCTATTTCAAAACTTTGCTGCAGTGAGACAGAAGCAAGGAAATTACACAGTCCCCTGACATGGCTGGTGCCGTGTCGTGGATTTAACCTGGCTGGAACAATCTCAGCTTGGCCCCAGCAAGGTGGAGACCAAGCTCAGCAAAAGCCCAACTTGGCGAAAGTTCACATGATAAAAGCTGAATGCAAAGGAATCCCAGCGCGATGGAAGAGGCAAGAAGCCTAACATGCTGGGAACTGGGACAACAAAAACAAACCTGGGAGAAAGCTCAGGCAGCTCAGTCTCAAACTCCAGAAGACCTCCAGTTAAGGTCAGCAAGCCACAACTTGCCGTGCCGACTCAACAAGGATACACAAAACTATACCCAACCACGGAAAATACCAGTCACCCTTAGACGGACACCGCTATAAGGACTCTGAGGCTTGAGACTACCAAGAGGGGTAGGCCCAATGCCCCTCGCTGTTCCAGCTCAGCAGGAAGTAGCCAGAGAGACCTTGACTCCCCTATTCCCAAAGAACTGGGCCACCCATCTCTTGAGCGGGGAATGTTAGGTAGTTAGAACAGGAAGGAGTCCAAAATGGTGGTGGCTAAAGGACAAGGAAGGACTTCCCTGTAGCTCAGACTGTGAAGAATCTGCCTGCAGTGCAGGAGAACTGGGTTTGATCCCTGGGTCAGGAAGATCCTCTGGAGAAGGGAAGAGCAACCCACTCCAGCATTCTTGCCTGGAGAATCCCCATGGACAGAGGAGCGTGGTGGGCTACAGTCCATGGGGTTCCAAAGAGTCAGACATGGCTGAGCAACTAACACTACATCACACTGTCAACATTAGCAGTCTTGCCATCTCCTAAGTAGAATAGTGTCAGCAACATTCTTAAATTTTAACTATATCTGGCCTTTATTATTTGGTAAAATTGGGTGGGAAAGGTAAAAATTAAAGGGTCAATTCTAATCAAAAGAAATTAATGCCCATGAATGGCACACCAGAGGAAAAATAGACTTTAGAAATGGCACACATACATAGAAAAGACTACGTATGGAATGTGCAAAATTTGTCCAAAAGGCAAAGTGTATAATTTTGGATTTTCTGCTGGATTCTATCAATAATATGAGATTTCTTGGAATGAAGCCCTTTGACACAATTTGTTAAACTTTTCTGCATCCAAATATTATGTGTGTTTTCATGATCATATCACATGCAGAGTAAACAAGAAAAGAAAAAAATATATAAACAACTGCCAAATGAGTTATACATTTATTATAGTTACAGGAATTCCAATGTGAGAGGAATTGCACATGCCAGGAAAACTCTGAGAAGTGTGCACAGGAGGCCAGAAAGGCCACTGGGGAAATAAGTAGGGCACGGGCCCAGGGTGGGCAGGTAGAAGGTCATGTCCCTGTAGTTGGGGCAGAGTGAGCAGAGTGCTGGGGCTGGATGGAGTTTCACTGGGGAAACTCCTGGAGATAAGCTGAGGGGTGAGGCAGGGGCATTTGAGTTATCAAGTTAAGGACTTTTTTTTTTGGAAGTTAGTTGATTTGTAATGTTGTGTTAGTTTCACGTGTAGAGCAAAGTGATTCGGTTATATTCAAGAAACTAAGATCATGGATCCCAATCCCATCACTTCATGGCAAACAGAAGGGGAAAAGTTAAAAAAAAAAAAAATGTAACACAATGAAGCTAGGAGCCATGCCATGTAGAGTCACCCTGAAGGAGATGAAACCAGTCAATCCTAAAGGAATAAACTCCGAATATTCATCAGAAGGACTGATGCTGAAACTCCAATGCTTTGGACACTTGATGCAAAGAGCCAACTCATTGGAAAAGACCCTGATGCTAGGAAAGATTGAGGACAGGAGGAGAAGGGGATGACAGAGGATGAGATGTTTGGATGGCATCACTGCCTCAATGGACATGAGTTTGAACAAACTCCAGGAGATAGGGAAGGACAGGGAAGACTGGTCCCTGCAGTCCATGGGGTTGTAAAGAGTCAGACACAACTTAGCAACTGAACAACAAAATACATACTTATATATGTATATACACACATATATACATATACATACATATGTATGTATATGCATACATATATATATATATACACATGCATATATATACATATGGCTTCTCTAATAGTTCAGTTGGTAAAGAATCTGGCTGCGATGCAAGAGACCCTGGTTTGATTCCTAGGTCGGGAAGATCCACTGGAGAAGTGATAGGCTACCCACTCTAGTATTATTGGACTTCCTTTGTGGCTCAGCTGGTAAAGAATCATAAAGAATTCACCTGCAATGCAGGAGACCTGTGTTCGATCCCTGGGAGTATGTATACACACACACACACACACACATAATCTTTTTCAGATTCTTTTTTATAGGTTATTAGAAAATATCACATATATTTTATTGTTCTATGCAGTAGGACCTTGTTGTTTATTTATTTTATATATAATAATGTGTCTTTATTAACTCCTAATTTATCCCTCTATGCATTTACCCCTGTAACCATAAGTTTGTTTTCTATGTCTGTGACTCCTCCTGTTTGACAATATAAGTTTATTTGTATCATTTTTTTAAGATTCAAGTTCTATGTGATACTGCATTTGTCTTTCTCTATCTGGCTTACTGCAATTAGTATGATCATTTCTAGATTCATCCATGTTGCTGCCAATGGCATTATTTCATTCTTTTTTTACACTGAGCAATATTCCATTGTATATATGTACTACATCTTCTTTATCCCTTCCTCTGTCAATGGACATTTAGGTGGCATATGTGTCTTGGCTATTGTAAATAGTGCTGCAATAAACACTGGGGTGCACTTATCTTTTTGAATTATGGGTTTCTCCGGATATATGCCCAGGAGTGGTACTGCTGGAATCACACAGCACCTCTACTTGAAGATGTTTTCAAAAGCACATTCCATCTGGGGTGCTCTAATTATTTTACGATTCAAATTTAAAAAAGAATATTTTCGAAGGTACATACACTCCTAGGAACCATAGAGAGGATGCACATTTTCCTGCACTGATGCAGACGGTCAGGATTGACGTCGAGACCTGTGCATTGTTGGAGCCCTGAGCCTGAAAAACGCCACTCGATTTAAAGCTCCGCTGTCACTGTCAATACATTTTAAACAAGGGGGTCTTCTATTTTTAATTTTCACTAGGACCCACAAATTACATAGCTGGTCCTGCTCAGACGAGAAAGCACAGGAAATTAATTTGACATAATATTCACGTATCAGATGCCCAGTGGATCCAGATACTGTTATTTGGAAGAACATCTGAAGAGTGACTCACTTTTGTGTCCAAACGCAAAAGGAAAACTCTTTAAGCTTAATAATATCCAATTTTAACTAATAAAAACAAAAATGGCATTTTGTTCGATGTCTAATCACAGTGTCAACTACAAACTGGCACTTGCCATCTAACTCCGTAAGATTTAGATCAGGTGCTGCTGCAGCTGCTGACGTTCAGACCCCCCTGAAAGGAGTTGAGGGTGAAGAGCAGAAATGGGGCACCCTGTGCTGGAACAAAAACTGACAGGGTAAGTCTCCAGACAGCTAGTTTCAGGAATTGACATTATCAGCCCAGGGCTATCTCCTCATAGCTGCAAAAGCACTGAAATCTATCATGGAGATGACTGCTCCTGTGACTAGCAAAATCTGCAAAAAATGCATGCTTGATAGCATATGCTGCCCCTTCACCAAGATCACATTTATACTGACCTTCCCCTCTACATCTTTGGAGCAGTGTCCCAGAGCTACCTGAGGTGCTGTTCCTGGGCTGCCGTCCTCAATTTGCCCCCAAATAAAACTTAACTTGCAGCTCTCACATTATTTTTTTTTAACTCAACAACAGATTTCCCGAAATCAGAGGATATTTGGATTAGAAAGACAAGATGAACCATTCCCCATTCCAAATACTGAGGAGCAGCTAAGTACAGTTTTGCTAACTCATTCAAGTTTTCTTTCCAGGGAAATATTTCACATCTTCCAACTTGTTATTTTTATTTTTGCTTTTA